TGATGTACTCATCATAGAGCTTCCTCATCACGCTTTAGATGAACACAGGAATAGACACCTAGTGGCCGGTATAGAAGGCGTACAGGGCTTCTAGATAGTCGCCCCGCCTCTGAATCTTGTGTTCGGCCATGTATATGTTCCGGAAAAGCACAGAATCGATGAACCAAAGGTCGTCTGGAAGATATGTGCGGGTGGCGAAAGTCTCGCCACCGGCATGGTGACCTGTGAGAAAAACTGCCATATCGGCGTAAGAAAGCCTGTGGAGCGTGGGATATGTCTCCTGTAGCTCGGGCGGGCACGGATGTGGATAGCAAGTCGAACGGGCCAGAGTATCCACTGTAATGGTGATCTCATGACCATCGATAAAGGTGATGAGCTCGGCTGTAGTGCACAGCGACGGTCGGAGGTTCTGGTAGAACAACCGTACCAGTCGCGGATAGATCGGCTCTGTGACTGGGGCAAGAATAGCTGAGAGGCCCCGCTGAATGATATCCTGGTAGGCAGATCGAGTCAGCACCGATCTGGAGAAGGATGCGGTGTCGAATGCTGACTCGTGGTCGATAGTCATGTGTGCATATCGAGGTGCGAGTCTGTCGTGCTGTAAAGGAGCTGGCTAAACAGGTGGAGCCGGCTGAGCTGGCTGCTCAGCACCTCTATGCGGTGGAGATGGTGATGGAGTGAATGCTGGACGAGCTTGCGACTGGGGTGGAGTAGGGTGTAATGGCTCCTCTGTATGGGAGGGTTGCATAGTCTTCTCTGTCCGCTGTCGGACTCTCCTCTGTGTGTGCTCGGGGCTAGGATCCCGGACATAAGATAGACCGGCCCCGTCGTTAAGTCTGCGTCTGGTGCCGTGATGGTGTCTACGTGCTACAGTCTTGACGCGAGCCATAGTTTGTAAATAGAATTTCAAGAGTTAGTGCCAGCATATATAGAATATAAGGCACAATATAGAAACATGTATGTCAAATAAGATAGACAAAACAAGATATTGCATGATTCTATACAAGTGGCAGAATATGAAACATGCCAAACAATGTGAGTATGAAATGCATCCAATGTAAAATATCACAGGCATTGGGCATATATAAGGTAGCATGAACATAAGCTAAGATGAATGGAGTGTATATATGTGATCTGTGAAATTCGATCGATCATAAAAAGAAATGAGATCGATCACAAAAGTTGGATCGATCGAAGGTTGAGTTGGATCGATCGCAAATATTCGATCGATCATAAATTTGTTCGATCGATCGAATAGTGCGACGATGAAACCTAACAGTCACAGATCTGTGACTTTTGAAGAACAGGGCCCACACGAACATGTTTGTGGGCCCTGTAGCACATCAAATCAATAACTCCCATCACCCAAACATGGCCTATACTCCCAAATCAAACAAAAATATCAAAAATATATACAACGATATATATATATATATATATATATATATATATATACATATTTCAAGCATCAACAATGGAGGTTTAATCATATATAAAGCATGAATCAAACATATAAACCATGTATGCACGAGATTGAAGCTTGAAATCGACTAGTGAGGTCACGGATCTTACCCAAATCGAATGGAGATGTGGATGTAAAGAGGGAGGAATGAAACCGAGATGAGAGAGAGAGAGAGAAGCTTGGTTCTCACCGGAGATCTCACCGGAGATGGAAGATATAAGTAGGTGCAGCGGCGGCGACGAGAGAGAAAAAGGGGGGTTTTGAGGTTGAGGGTGAGTTGGATCGATCTAAATGATCGATCATGAGAACCCTCGATTTTGAAAAACATTCCCCAATTAGTTCGATCGATCGAACTCAGCTGAGATCGATCGAACTTTCTCTCACAAAGTTTTTTTATTTTTATTTTTTTTATTTTATTTTAAATGAATTGGAAAATTAAAATTAAATTTGGAAAATAGAAAATCTTTTTAGTATTTTTGAAAAATAAAATAAAAAATAAAAATATATATATATATTTTTGGATTTTTGAAATTTGAAAAGTCAAACTAAAATTAAAATAATGAAATAAAGATTTGTGATCGATCAAATCAAGAGTTCGATCGATCATACAGAGAGCAAAAATATACAGGTTTTTGGTTCAAAAATTTGGCTAAGTGTTGGAACATGAGATCGATCGAACTGGGAAGTTAGATCGATCTTGGAATGTTTCAAACGATCAAACAGAGAGCTGAAAATATGCAGGTGGATGCAGGCTCAAAATTTTTCTAAGTGTTGAGGCATGAGATCGATCGAACTTGGAAGTTGGATCGATTGAATGTCTCTTGATCGATTTAAGAATTAGTTCGAACGATGGGACAGAGAGGTGATTTGGATGCAAGTTCTGCAGGCTCAAAAATATTCTAAGTGTCAACACTCAAGATCGATCGAACAAGATAGTTGGATCGATCGAAGTTACTATAATCGATCCAACTGAGAACTAAGATCGCAGATTTTTCTTAGATCGATGGGACACAGAGCCTATTTGGATGCAGGCTTGAAAATTCTCTAAGTGTTGGATTCAGATGGAAGTTCGATCGATCGAACTCAGGTATGAGATCGATCAAACTTATGCAGAATGCTCAAAAATGACATGAAAGCTTATGCAATCCTCACCAAAGTTCCTTGAAATGCATATGAACCAAAAACAAGTATCTAGACTTCGCAAGAAATGAAATGTAAGATAGAAATGAGAGAGAAATAGGGTTTTGACACCCTGCGAATGCTTTTACTAGTCTTTAACGTCTCTAGCAAGACATTGGGCTCTTTTAGCCCGGATCAAAGATCTTATAATGCATCCCCTCCTTGTTGGGGTGATGGATGCTTTGAACTCTACCCAACAAATGGTCCTTTGAAGAACTTGTTGGATCAAGCTCAAAAGAGGCTTTTGATCCTTTGTCTATGCCATCAAAACTTTTGGGCTTCCATGCCCTTTCAAAGTAAGAATTTGAAACAACACTTTGAGAATGCAAGTTTGAAGATAATCCTTTGGAAGTTTTGGTTTTACACAAAAGTTCATTTCCTTGACATTGAAGATCATGACACTTTTCTACAACATTGACCTCTACTTCATATTTTTCAAATGAATTGGGTGTGGGATTAAAGATATTCAACTTCACCTTCATATGGCCAAATGAAATCTTCATTATCCCCGTCCTACAATTTATGTTGGCATTAGCGGTTGCCAAGAAAGGACGGCGAAGGATAATGGGAATTTGGCTCTTAGGATTGGAAACCAATTCTGTATCTATGACAACGAAATCAACAAGAAAAAAGAATTTATCAATCATAATCAAAACATCTTCAATGACACCTCTAGGCTTTTTAATGGATCGGTCGGCAAGTTGCAAAACTACCGACGTCGGTTTCAATTCACCTAAGCCTAGTTTGATATAAACCGAGTAAGGAAAAAGGTTAACACTTGCTTCTAAGTTAAGAAGCGCCCGATTAATGATATGTTCACCAATGATGCATGATGTAGTGGGTGAACCGGGGTCCTTTAACTTTGGAAGAGTGTTATGTTGCAAAATTAAGCTTACTTGCTCGGTCAAAACCACTTTTTTTTTTTTGTGCTTGGCTTTTGTTCTTTCGCTTTTGGGTGCAAAGATCTTTTAAAAACTTGGCATAAGCCGGTATTTGCTTGATTGCATCCAAAAGTGGGAGATTAACTTTTACTTGCCTAAACATTTCCAAACTCTCATTGGTCTTGACTTTTTGCTTTTCTTTTGAAATGGACCCTTTCAAGGCATCCGGAAATGGAACCTTTGGTTCAAACACTTTTTTAAGATTTTCTTTTGAACTCTCTTTAACACAAGAAGTTTTCAAATTAGGTTTCAATTCACTTTTCAACAAAATTTTCTTAACATCATTTTTCAAAACTTTCTTCAATGGATCATTTTCAAGATCGCTTTTCAAATCACATTTTTCAGCTTTCTCATTTATAAGATCATGCACATGCAATGAAGAAGGAATAAAATGTGAAACAGGACGAGTGACAACTTGTGGTTGCACCGGTTCACTCTCTTCATTGGTCATTTCTACTTGATTATTAACAACTCTACCACTCCGCATGGTGGTCACCGCATTAACATGTTTTATGGTACACCCCTCTGATGAGGATTGGGTTTCCACAACACATTGTTGCTTAGGTGGGGCATTAATAGGCATCTTTCCCTTCTCTCTAGCATTAAGAGTGCTACCTATTTGCCTTACTTGGGTTTCTAGCTTTGCAATAGATTGAGAGTGAGAATGAAGCAATTGTGTGTTAGCCTCTAAAGTGCCCAAAGCATTTAAAACTTTCTCTTCAAAAGCGGGACTTCGAGAATTACCTTGGGAATATGATTGGTTGGGAAAATGGGAATTAGAGAATTGATTCCCTTATGATTGGTATGGCCTATAACCTTGGGATCCTTGGTTTTGCATTGGAGGTGGAATATACTTCCCTTGAAAACCGCCTTGGGGAGGGTTTGAGCCTTCCCCTTGGTTTTTCCATGAGAAGTTCGGATGATTTCTCCAACTTGGATTGTAATAAGTACCATAAGGATTGTTCCCTTGGTTCACAAAAGCCGTATTGACTTGTTCATTAGGTTCACTTTGCACTTGTCCATGAGGACAATGAGAAGTAGAATGAAGAACACTAGAACAAGTCATACATGTTTCATTTGATGCACGATGAAAATGGTTAGGGAAGGAAGTTACTTGGTTCGCCGAGTTTTGGTTAATTAAAAATTGATCAAACCTTTGAGACAAAGACTTCATTTCGGCGGCTATTTCATTTGAATGTTTGACTTAATATAAGCCGACACTCTTCCTACCTTGTGTATTTCTACCATTCTTTGATGACAATGTTCTATGCAATGAATTTTCACTCATGCTTTCATAGAGGCGCCATACGTCATCCTCATGCCTATCAATGTAAGAGCCACCCATGGAAGCATCAACCATACCCTTATAGTTGTCCGATAAGCTCTCAAATAAATATTGAACTAATTGCCATTTGGGCATGACATGGTGTGGACACTTCCTTAGCAATTCATTGAAACGTTCCCATGCCTCATGGAATGTCTCCCCATCCCCATGTGTAAATTCTCGAATTGAGGTCCTCATGGCATTGGTCTTAGAAATCGGATAGTACTTCTTCAAAAACTCTTGTTGCATTTCTGCCTAAGAAGTGATTGAAAAAGGCCTAAGATTGTTAAACCAATACTTTGCTTTGTCCTTAAGGGTGAATGGAAAAAGTTTAAGCCTTAAGACTTCTTCCGGCATGTCCGTGTATTTCACGGTAAAACAAACTTCAAGAAACTCATCCAAATGCTTATAGGGTTCTTCACTTGGAAGTCCATGAAAGTTAAGAAGCATTTGAATGGTTTGTGCTTTAATTTCATAATGGTGTGCTCGAAATAGTGGCAATTGAATACATGTGGGTGCATTATATTCATTTGGCACATAATGGTCTCTTAAAGCAAGAGGTGGATTAGCTACTTGAGGTGCAACATGAACACCTTGATTTTGAATTCCTCGATTGACAATGGGAGGTTGTGGAGCATACATTGGCCTTGGCATTTCGAATGGAACTTGGCCTTGTTGTTGTGGTGGTGGGTGAATGTATGGCCTAGGCATGCCTAATAGTACTTGAATGTTCTCATTGTACACATTTAGATGAAGGATGCCTTGTTGGTCTATGTGACCAAGGTGCTCAACATGATCATCATTATGGTCATCCATTGATAGGCGGGTTCTATTTGAACTTCCCCTTCCCCTAGGATTTCTAATGATGGATTCAAGATGCAAATCAAAAGGAACAAGAGTTGGTCTCAATGAACGACGACCATGCATGCACAATAACAAATAAGTAAGCACAACAAATGAATAAATACTTTGCCTTCACAACAATACAATTAAACTTCCTCCACAAACACAATTTCCATGTTTGAAACAATAATAATGCAATGACAAGAGAAATGCCTCCACGCAGGCTCACGATTTAACTAAGGAGATTGAGTCAAGAAAGTCTCACAAAGGTCCTATAACACTTCAACTCCAAATTTAGCTTAGCTTAGCAATTTTTTAAAATTTTTAGCTTTTCCCTTATTTTGCTTTGCTGTGCTTTGCTCCTTAGCTTGGATGCTCCTTTGCTTGGCTTCTTTCCAACAATACACCTAGTCAAGTGAAAACAAACACAACAAGCAACCAAAAAGAATAGTGAAATCAAAGTAAAGAAAAGACACGATCAAAAGAGTACTAATTCCTAATGAATTCCACAAATATGACGTTGCCTAATCCCCGGCAACGGTGCCAAAAACTAATGGCGTGTATGTCGCCGCACCATACGTTTGAGAATGTGCAATTTAGGCGAGGGTCAAGTTTTACATTTGTAAAAGCCACTACTATCTTTCACTATAAATATAGCTAGGGCGAGTATGGATCGTCCCAAGGGTTCGGAGTCGGAGTTGATTGTGGAATCGCAATTAGGGTTAGTAGGTCGAGTGATCAAACAATTGGTTAGTAGGTTGATTAAAGAGCAACAAAATTAAACTAAGTAATTGAATGCAATGGAGATTAAGTAAGAGAGAGAGAAGAGTCTTGGGGTTTAGAGATCACCACCAAGAAATGCATTTCTATATTATTGACAAGTGATTAATGAGGGCAATTGGGTTGTTGCAATATTGGTGTGTGTATATTTGGTTGATTCAACAAGCAAGGATGACTAATTAAGTATACATTGTCTAACCAACATGTGAAAAGCACAATATATCTAGCAATTAAGTATATATTGTCTAAATAGCATGTGAAAAACACAACATATCAAACAAATCATTGGTCCTTTTCATTAGGCTCACAATCCAAATACAACACAAGATTAGAGACATATGCTACTTGCATTCAAAAATATTGAGCATCAAACAACTAGCATGGATTGTCTTCCTATCTAATATTATACTAATACTAAACTACAATTAAGCCATTGAAATTAAACTAATTTAGCTAAGAAGGAGACACAATCCATCAAGATATGAGCATGAACCATCTAGAGAATCACAAAAACATTTATTTAAGCACTATGTTTTGACGACCTCTAAATTTCTGGCATCAATACACATAGACATGCATCAACAACACAAAATCTAGAAATAAGTACATGAACATCTATTCTAACATACATAGACATATGGATAGAATGAAATGATCAATTGGAAGCATTAAACACATAAATCATTGATTAAACAAGATCTATATATATCAAAGTGTCAAAACATTAATTACAACACTAATCCCTCATTAATACACAAGATTAAGATATAGAAAGCATGCTTGGGGCTAACTCTAGCCCCAAGAGGATGTCTAGCCACTCATGGTGAGGATGCTCCAACCCTCAAGGGCTAACTCCATGGAAGAGGTTTGCTCCTCGTTGATGAAGATCTCCAATGGTGTCTCTAGCCTTATTCTTCTCTAAACTTCCTCTCCAAGAGATGATATGAAAGTAATGTTCATCCCCTTTGAAAAATCAATCATTATCCTTATATAGGTAGGTCAAAATGACACCCAAAATGAGCTGGGGTCATGCACACAATATTCCCTAATGATTGGATAAAGGACAACTTTCAATGAGATGGAATTTTAACTTTTTCGCACTGGAGGAAGTTCGATCGATTGAAAGTAAGTGAGATCGATCGAAAGTAAGTGAGATCGATCGAAGTTAGGCTGGATCGATCCAACTGGCTGAGCTTTTTGGAAAAAGACAAAATCGAGATATTTATGGGAAAAGGACAAAAGTGATTGGTGGGTGGTACAACCGTGGATAGGATCAATCATTTTGATAAGGACAAAGGTGTTCGATCGATCGAAGAATGATGTTGGATATCGATCGAACTTTTGGACTTAAGTGCTTTGGGTTAAGGCTTGGATCTATCTTGAAGTACTGAGATCAATCAATGTTCGATCGATCGAACCTTGGACTTGGATTGATCGAACTTGCTGCTTTGCTCCACTTTGCTCCTTTCTTCCTCCACTTTGCTTCTTTCTTTGTTCAATCCCAAAATTACTTCAATTAAGCTCTTATTTGGTTAAGTTAGCTTATTTTCAAGATAAGCACCTGAAAATGGAAATAATACGAAATCAATCTAAAACGGTAAAGTAAGATAGATAGAGGTACTAGAATGCCTAAGCTTAAAGGGTTTAAATACGCACTTTTCAATGCTCATCATGTTCAGTTTAAACGACAAACCTGTGGTGCACAGAATTTGGCTACCGAATGAGGAATGCCCCAGATTGGCAATGTCTAGAGCCTTTGGGGACTACTTTATTAAGGATTTTGGACTTATATCCATCGCTGAAGTGAGGTGTTGTCACGTATAACCAGCAGAGACCAATTTGTTGTGTTGCGAACCGATAGGTTATGTATGTCACTTTTTGGTATTTATCACTTGTTCTTTTTAATACAATGACAAAGAAAAAGACTTGTTTGTTTCTCTATTAAATGTCCAAAACCTGTAAAAGATCACCTGAACGAATACGTTTTAAACTCACTAGCATAATTGACAATAATCACTTTAAATTATGTGATATCAGTTATTATTAATGAGTTTACAGGTTTTTGTTTTGGCTCAAATTGATTGGATTTTGAAATTAGTATGGATTTTTGAAGTTGATCTTAACTTGCTATCAAAACTGTTTTGTGAGCAGAATTTTTCCTATCTTTTCCTTCAAACTTGATTTAATCGGTAAGAAAATTTATTGATTTAAATTGATAGAAGAAAAATTGTGTGTTTAACCTTCCAATGGACTTTGGTTTCATATAAATTGTTTGAGAATTTATTTTTTATTGAATTTTCAAAGGGAAGTATGTATTTCTGGGAAAAATTATTTCAAATAGATTTTTGGGCTTCCTTCTGATTTTTGGTGGTCCAAATAGTCCAATCAATTAAAAAAGTAAAAAAATAAAAAAAACAGTAATAAAAAGGATTTTGCTATAATCTTGGTTTACTAGTGTTACCCCATTTATTTATTTATTTTGTTTAGAATCTTGCTTTTGGTTACTAGCGCCTAATAAAAAACTTGTCTGCTCATATGTCCCTTATTTTTGAGTTTTTTCATTTAACCATCTCCACTTGTATAATATTTTGGTGTTATATTTTCTTTAATTGATTTGCATGTACTTGAAATGTAGTCTTCCAAAGGGGCTGGGAAAAGACAACAACTGGAGCGTCGATAGCATGGCATATCAAGTACATCAAATTTGTAAGTTATATGGTCTTTATGTTCGATAAAATTCTTTTATGATTGCAAATTTGTAATGCTTTTTATACTCATACTCGGGGGGGTCACATGCCTTTAAGTGACCAATTTTGTGGTGTATCTTGAACTTTATTACCTTATTGGTACATCGGCCCATGTGGAGGCCATTTTTATTTCTTGTTTTAAAATGTTGAAAGCATGGGAGTATGGGATCATCGTACGTGGAGGTTTTGATTGATTATTGTGGAGGAGAAGTTGTTGATATGTTGTTTAAGGAGTTAATGCAAGTTCTCACGTTCTTCGTACATTTAAACCGTAATGTGTAAATGCAAGTTCTCACATTGCCCGCGCTACACGTGTATTAATGAATGATGTAAAAACTTTTTCTCCTATTTCAGAAAGTATAGAGAATGCCAGAGTCCAAACTCGTCTTTTAACATTCCGTATCAAAAATCAATCCTTTTTCGTCCTTAAACTCTCCCTATCAGCAGACCCTTTTTCATCTTACGCGTTGTCAGTCTCCATCAAACGACTCATATTCTTCCACGTCAGCGTCGTCTTTCTTTTTCCTTCTCTTTTTGATGCATACATACATAAAAACGCCCTGTTTGCTTCTCTCTCTCTCTCTCTCTCAAGGGTTTTTCAGTCACAACACTTTACTCTCTAAACCAAACGATCAACGCTAAGCCATGACTCTTAAAATTTTCAGAGTATGTATTTTTTCATCAATTCCTATATATATATATGTAATATTTTCATGAACTTTTATTTTTATTTATATTATATTTAATCAGTATAGTCAATTGTTTAGAATTGGTTTTTGAAATTTTATTTAATTTCGTTGCCAATAATAAGTGAGAAAATTGAAAGACTGA